TGAAAACAGCATTTTAGTAACAACTAAAGGTGACATAAATACGTTATTATGGTATAGTATTTAAATATATGCCTGAGAAACTTAATATTGGCCCTTTAAGGCGCTGTATAAGTTCGAGCCATTAACCATTTACCCAGTATGCTTGGCAGCATTAATAAAATGATGCCATCTGTGTTACAATATGTATTTTTTTCAATTTATAAAACTAAACAGCCTACAGTATTTGTACAGTCTTTGTTTTACAGTTTAAGTAAATGTTTATCAAATAATGTCTAATGTTATAAGTAAGCAGTGATTCTTTTAAGAAAAATGTATTTTCTCTAAGGTCACCATGAGTTCCCACCCTACAATCCTGAAACCATTCGAAGTGTCTACCACACAAGAAATATTGAGGTTTTCAAATTAATGCAGGTAAATATCGTTTGAAACATTAAACATTATATGCATTAATGACGTTTGTTCGGTGGTTTATAAAACACTTTGATAACAGAAACRCAGACAAAAATCTATTAAAACTTGCTAAAAGTAATCATTGAATGTACATTTAGAACTAAATCAACCTGGTTTAAGATGACAGGCAACTAACCTTAAACACAAAAATGGCTATAATACAGCCAATTTAACATATATTAAGCTAATTTGGTGTGGCTATAGAATTGTAATAAAACTTTTAAAAAGTAATCATACATCCACAACTAATTAATTTTTGGAGCCAATCCGGTTCAAGATGGCTTCCAGTGGCATTCACAACATATATTGTGATTCTAACATCTTAATTTGTCCAAAACTCTTATGTCTTAGCATAAGATGTTTTCAGTCCAAAGCTCTGGTATAAATGGTGGCAGTATTCATTCCTGTGGATAGACCTATAAAGTAAATTATGTTTTTTTGTTTGTGTCACTAAAGATTCAGATGCCAATGGACATCTTTATGAGCCACGATTGGCCTCGGGGAATCTGCTACTATGGAAACACAAACGAATTGTTACGTAAGAAAAGGTTTTTGCGTCAAGATGTGGAGTCAAATCTTCTAGGAAGTCCTGCTGCTGAGGAACTTCTGACTCACCTCCAGCCCAATTACTGGTTCTCTGCCCATCTTCATGTCAAGTTTGCTGCTGCCATGCAGCATCCGGTGAGAATGTGTTTTCAACCTGTTAATTTAGTCCACAGATTTATTACACACTGACTTTTCTTTTCTGTAGCCTAAAGGAAATGCTGCTCCACGGGTAACTAAGTTCTTGTCTCTGGATAAATGTCTGCCCCACAGAGAGTTTCTGCAGGTTGGTTCAAATGGTTTTCCTTACRCACAGTTCTCACACGTTCAGGTGTGTTGTTTATGGCTCTGTGCAGATGTATGTGTGTGTATTCAATTCAGATTGTGGATCTTCCGGACCGACCAAGTTCATCTGAGGGACTTGAATATGATCCAGAGTGGCTTGCTGTTCTGAAAGCCACCGACAGTTTACAGAGGATTACTCCTCAACTCTGGAATCCCCCAGAGAGAAATGGCTTGCATGAAAGGTATAGTTCCACTAAAGCACTAACTGAGGTCTTTAATTAACAGCTAAGGGTCAAAAAAGGCTCAAATTTTCCGCCTGGTATTTTTGGCTTATTTTACCTCTAAAAAGGACAATAATTGTCCTGTGAGTAAATATTTTTGCACCTTTTTCAATAACAACTAA